TGCACTTCGAGGTTCACCAAGTGCTGTGCCTGCCACGAAATCTGCACTTCGAGGTTCACCAAGCGCTGCGCCTGCCACGAAATCTGGATTTCGAGGTTCACAAAGCGCTGTGCCTGCCGCGAAATCTGTACTTCGAGGTTCACAAAGCGCTGCGCCTGCCACGAAATCTGCACATCGAGGGTCACAGAGTGCTGCGCCTGCCTTGAAATCTGCAAACAAGCCACATGTCCAAAAGCCACGATTCACTGCGCCGGTCACAAATTCTGAGCCTCGACGATCACCAACATGCTAAAGTGCTGCGCCTGCCACGAAGACTGCATTTCAAATTAAATCAGCTCCTACCTGTCACGAATGCCGGCTTTGAAGCACCCACGAGGTTTCCCTTGCGCCTGCCACGAAAAGTGACCACCATGCGCGAAAATGCGCGCGGCGCCGCAACGAGAGCGCAGTTCGAAGGGAGCCCGAGACACTTTGCTACAAGAAGAAGCCTGTGAGGAATGCGATGTTTGGAGTGGATGAAGGCTGGGTGATGAGACAAGATGGATCTTGGCCGAGGACTTTGAAGTTGATAGTCAACCTCATACCATCGAACTCCTTCCAACGTCGAGTGCCCTATCGAACCTCTGAGCGAATGCCCCTCTGGCGGCCACTCTATGTTCATGAGTCTGAAGTGGTCTTGCGCTGCACGGAGGACCTAAAGCAGTGTTTCCATCTGTACCGACCAGGCGAGAAGTGGCGAGGGTACTTTGCACTCAATCGCAAGGCAGCAGGATGGCGCTACCAGGATGGAAGAAAAGCGGCAGCTTATAGAGCGCGATCAGCGCCGATGGGTTGGAGTAACATCGTGGATTTCATCCAGAGTGGTTTCGAAGCAGTCGCAAAGGCCGCTGGACTTGAGCCCAGCCACGAAGTTACTATTCATTCTATGTGGACAACTTTGACGAGTTGCTGATTGTTTGGAAGACTGACCAAGTAAGGGCTCTATGAGGGGAAGCCCAGTGATTCGCAACTCCAACTGCGGCAAGAGATGGACAAGAGGGGGATCACTCGCGGTCCACGTAAGGCCAGTGAGAGCAGCAGAACCTGGACTAGCCTCGGAGCAGAGGTTGATGGAACACTAGGCTGGGTTGGAAGCGCAAGCAAGTTAGAGGCGTGTTGGTTGCAAATCGTGACACGCGACACGATCCTTGAAGATGGAGTTCGCCTATCCAGTCGAGAACATGCACTCTATGCAATATCAGAGGCCTGCCTCTTTGACAACATCTATGAAGAATACAACAATGAAAAGCAGACTTGGGTCAGTGAGTCGGCCATTGATGAATTGCTGACGCTCACCTGCACGCTTCCAACCCACTGGATTGATCAACGGTGTGAAATTTCCGGGACAGATGCATCAGAAGACGGCCGCAGACACCCAGATTCAACGAGCCTGCGCAGTCGAAATGCACTTCGAGGATTTCGAGAGGCGTGAGTGTGCTGTAAATAGCAGCGAATCAGCCGGACACGGCCGCGCGGCACACCGATCTAAGCACAGCTGCTTTTCCCTCACGGTAAGAACCCCTAGTGTGTCCACACTGTTTGGAGAAATATATATATATGTATATGTATATTGCATAACTCGTCATACTTTTCTTGTTTCAAATTCTGCGACGCGATTTTCTTGTTTCAAACTCTGCCCTTCAGTGTTTGCTCTTGTTTATGATGCAAAAAATGTAAGGTCACAACATGTTTTGCATCACGTTGCCTTGGGGGGTTGCCGAAAATGGCGCTCCTATTTTCCAGTCGAAAAGGGGCTATGGTGACGCATACAGTTTGCATGTACAGGTCTGCGCCCCCCTTGAAGCTATACATGGGCGGATTGCTTTACAGACCGGCTGCTGCGCGAAAAATCTTGCGCGGGCGGAAGATTTCACGCGCCCTTCCCTTGCGCGTTGGGCCAACCGGGGGCATGTCATGTCCACATGAAGACGCCTTTCTCCTCGGTCTGGACGGTCTTGCCAATCTTCACGCTCAAGACCACAGTGACAGCCGTAGGAAGACCATCAACATCACTGCCTGGATCATGAGCGCCCAGCCAAAGGCGAAAGCCAGGTGAGTGAAGAGCTGCCATTCGTTTGGGTCTGATTCCGTTTCTTGCTCCATCGGCCTCCTCCAGCCCGCAATCGCTGCCTTCTTGCTGAACTGCCCGGCCGCTGTCACTGCATTGACGCCAGGATTTGGTGGAGAACGCGCCTCTTCTTTGTTGCCAATTTGAGCATCTGCCTCAATTTGTGGAACCTCCGGATGGTTAGGGCCTTGGTGCCGTGTTGTCATTGCTCGGCTCTCCATGTAGTGTAATCCGCTGCGAAGTCTTGCCTCTACAAGACTCCACAGGCTGATGAAAGGCAAAACATCTGCAGGCTCCTTGCGTAGCAGTAGAGTAGACGTCCTCCAATACGCAACATGGCACTGGCAATTCGCCCAGTCTGCGTCTGAACTCCCTGCCGGCTTAAGCCAAACGCCGCGCGTATTCCTTGGCGCCTTGTAGATATCGAGAAGTCGGGCAGTTTGGCAACGCTGCCATTGTTCGGTTCCTTCGTGTTGTTGGTAAACTCACGCACTGCAAACTGCACATCCGTGCGGTCGTGGCTCAGGTAGTAAGGGGTCAATTCCCCCTCCTGCCCTGCGCAGCTTGGCGTTCACCTCATTGAGCTTGTTGCCATCTTTCACATTGCCCTCTCTCATCTCCATGGATGTGGGGTGTTGACGCTGCATTGCAGTGCTCCAACTTCAGCATCTCAAGCAGGTCACTGACGTACTTGGCTCTTGGCGTGATGAAGATGCCATCGTTGAAGATCTCTTTAGTGCGCTTCAGGTGTGTGATTTCTCACCCTCCTCCAGTGTATGGCCCTGACCTGTTTTACCCTCTTGCGCGTCTCCAACTCCTGCCAGGCCTTCTCTGTCCAGTGGCAAAGAAGTCGCCCATATGGACCTCCATGAGGCCTTCATGGTGTCGTGGAAAAGCCATCCGGCTGCTGGATTTCATATGACCAGCTGCCCGCTCCATAAAACATATCCTCCTCCCGTACCACTCCTTCTTCAACTTCCAAGCGACCTTGTCTGGCAAAGTCACACCTGCATTGATCTGCGTCTCGATCCAAGGACATCCTCCTTGATGGGTACCAGCCAAAAGGCTTTCTCTGAGTCAGGCAATCATGAACGAGCACCCACCAACCTGGATGTAGAAGTGCTTGAAGCCACAGCAAACACATCCGTTCGGGGATCACCTTTCTTGAGCTCACGCACACAGCATCGACCTCGACGAACAATCCCAGCCTCCGGCCATGTTCTTTTCTCGAGGGGTACTGGCTCCTTGCCTTGGCGCGCTCTTCTTCAGTGAGGTCTAATCCTGGCCAGGCGTCCCCTTCAGCAGCCTTGACCTCCATGAGGATGGGTTCATCTTGTTGACCTGAGGATGGCCTTGGTTGTTCTGCGAGGCATCAGCTGCTGGTCCACGCCGTCATCCTCAATGGACAGAGCACGTGCAACAGGCAGTTCAATGGCTTCCGCTTTGGGCGTCTACTGGCCATGCCTTGATCCCACGCAACTCCCGTGTCCAGCAACTACTCATCGCTCACCGCATCACACTCCTTTCAGCTACATGCCCGCTGTCTTGCCCATCGTGGCCAGGTTTCTCCCATGCGCCCTCCTGGCCTTTCTCATGGGCGTCTTGAAGAGGACTGTCTCCTTGCCATCACATTCTTCCAGGTGCAATGATGGCGGCCAGCATGGCTATGCAGGTGCCTTCCTCCAACTGCTGGTTCCTATGGCTTCACGCAAAGCCCTCCAAGCCTGAAAGCCATTCGAGCCTTCTGCATTCATCCGGATCTGGAGAGCACGGCCATCAAGACTCTAAGTGAGCAGGTTGAAGAGCACGGTGGATAGCTCCTGGCGAGTGGCTGCATTCCCAACCACTTCCCTCGAGCAACGAAGATGCATGCCGCCAGTCGTCCTCTTTTCCACTGAAGGATCTGAGCTTGGCAGGCGATCAATCTAGGGCCCACTGCCTGCTGAGGCGTTTGTAAAACTTGCTGCGCGGGACTCGAAGGTGTGTGAGCCACCGGCCGCAGCAGCTGCAGCAGCTGCTGCTTCGCCTGTGGAGGCGTCATAATAGGCGCGAACGATGCCATGCCGCTGCCTGCCACCTCCAACAGGAAGAATTATGTAGGTCCCACACCTCAGGTGTGCCACCCGCGCTGACGCCACTAGTCGGGACTTACACCGGTCTCACAGAGGGTCAGGAGCAGGAGCCCTGGGCGGGCTCCGCTACCATGCAGAAACTGGCGCTCCTGTTTTCCAGCCGAAAAGGGGCTATGGTGATGCATATAGTTTTCATGTACAAGTCTGCAGAGTTTCAATCAAGCGCGTTTCGGTGAAGGCGGGGATTTAAAATTTAGAAAGCTAAAGCATTGCTAGGATAAAAATGTCCCTTGTTTCTGAGGTAAAGCAAGAATCGAAGAGCCCCCGCCTTTAGTGCCACATTAGTCAGCAGGCTCTCCACAGAGTCACGTTTGTCCTTAGCACGTCATTTTGCCTGCGTCCTTGGAGTCTTGTTTCATCAATAATTGTTTCTTCAATATTTATCTTCACACCTGGTGCAACTTCCTTCAATGAACAGCGGGTGGTGCCAAGCAATATACTTAAGTCAAGTGTCCATCAAGCTAAGACTGGCTACAGGCCCACCAGCTTCAGAACCAGATTGGCAGTAAATCAATAAGTTTTGCATCCAGTGCATTCAACAACACATGCCTGACTCGCCTATTTACCTTTTGGTAAACCGCTGCGCATTGCCGTAGCATTTCATGTTTGCTTCACACTTTCCAAGACTTTTATCACGATGACTTGGGCAAAGTAGCTGCGAATGCAGCAACTGCAACTGTTTTGATGAGAGTATGAGATATCTATCTATCACGCCCCATCCAACACAATTGAATGCGTGGCCCTGCAGCGCATCGTTCTTTTTGTTTCAGTTTTCTGCATCGACCTTCTTGTCTTCGCGGCGTTCTCTTCGATCACGATCTTCCCTGCATGGAATCATAAATGCCATGACGCAGCTAAAGTGCCTGGCCAGTTTGAGCCTGCGATCCCGGTGTCGGCTGCGGTGACTCCGACTCCGGTGCCTGTGCAGAAGCATGCCAAACAGTGCGAAAACAACAACATATAAGTAACATATACTTGTGTCTTCGAGGGCCTTTCACGGCGGCGGCTTCGGCCTCAGGAATGAAATGCCCCACATATCCCTGATCACGTGTCTGCACGAAGTGCAAACTATACATAAACACATACACATAGATATGTTTCAGCACGCTTCTTCAGCCTGCCAAATATGCTCTTCCCCAGTGTCAAAAGGAAGCTCTCGACGAAAAATATTTGACATTGGGTTGTAAGGCTTTGACTGCGGCCATCACGGCCGTCGCGGCCGTCGCGACCGTCCCGGCGCTCATTCTTCGGGCGATCGCGATCTGTTTTGGTGTCTCGCAGTTCCTCGAAACGATTTGAAAGACACACAATGATAAATGATGCCAAAGAAAAGTTAACAAGCCGGGCAAACATCAACTCTAACTCACTCTCTCTCTCTCTCTCTCTCCCTCCCTCGCTCTCTCTCTCTCTCTCTCTCTCCTCCCTTAAATCTTTTGCAGCTGAAAACTGAATTGCCAAGCCTTCTCGTGCAGCTTGCTTCCAATAGCAGCAGCATACCCTGGCTCCTGTGGCAGGAATGAAACGGCTGTGTACCCGCAAGGTCAAACTACATGGAGGTGGGGCTCCAAGTTTTGACCCATCCTCAAACACCCTCCCATGCAAACGCCAACACAACGGTATACTGGCTGTATGGTTCTGACGATTCATCAAACCCATCGAAAGGAAGGGAACCATATATATATAAGATTATATAAGCGAGGACAGAGAATGAAGATGTGAACCTCAAAGAGAGAGGGAAACTCTGTGAAGCTGTGCTTCGCAGGTTCTTTCTGTTTTGGAGCCAAAACCTAGAAACAATGCAAGCAGAAAAACACGAAACTTGATCTTCGATCTGTTTTTGGCAGCACATCAGGCACCCAACGGAAAAGAATCCTGCAACATGCTAATTCTCCAAAAATAGTCGCATTCATGCACATTCCAAAGTCCAATGCCTATGTGTCTGCCCTGGAAGGAGTCACGAGTCTAGATGGATGCTTGCAGCTGGTATGAGAGTCGTCAACAAATGGAATGGAGCACAAAGCTTTGAGGAGAGCTCAACAACGCCGCAGAAAGCAGTCTCAATGAAGTGGTATTCGACAACACCGGAACCTTTGGACGAATGTCCCAAAGCCATGCATTGGAACACTAAACTACTGACACCACTGGAGAGTTTACTCCTGGGATCAGGAACCATCACCGTCCGAAACAGGCTACTCTCGGCCAAGGCAACATGTCCACTTACTGTAAATAGATACCAGGTGCCAATAGATGCAAAAAGGAATATGAAGCACCGATAGCAACATGGGCAAATCCTCATGATTCAGCAGCTTGGTCGGCGAGACCTGGACTGAACGGCCTCCTGGACCCTCCAAGACGACAATCATGCAAACTCTCTACTCAATATGCCGTGACGTACTAAGACGAGGCACCAAGACGGACACTGACGCCCTATCGTCACATTCGCCAAGAAACATTTGCAGACACAACCAGCAAATCTCATGTGCCAAGGGACACACGTTCAAAAGCCACGCACATATGCGTGACATATACATCCGCGAACAGGTGTTTCTTCTGGTGGGCTTCGACTGCACGCATTCACGCAAAGTCATAACCTTCGACACATGCTACGCGCCTTCACAGGCTTGCCGTCGCGTAGATCCCGCAACCTCGGCAGAAGAACCCTGACGTAAAGTTTGAACAACGCCACTGTGGAACTTTGGTTGAAGAGGAATTGCATGCTAAGTCAACGCAGCGAGTTAGGCTTTCTGCATGTAAAAGAGTGGAATGCCACCATTCTGGCAAATCCGTATTTGTGCTCACACTACTGCCTTCCTTATCAGGATTCAAAAAGAGTCAGATCTCGAAGAGTGTATAGGATCAAGTTCTTATGATCTCGATGAAGCTTCCGGATTTGCTCTAATTGGTGTTCTCAATGAAGGCATGATAATCTGCACTTCAAGTCCCTGACATCATCATCACCAGAGACGAGGGCTTGTTGGATCGTTCCAAATGGCGTGCGATCTTGGCCAGGTCACCATCTGGATCCTCCCTTTGCTCCAAGACCTCACATCCATGGCAATCATGAAAAAGCTCTGCGATTCATCATGATTCATCCGACTTGAACCAGTGACTCTTGCCCCGGAGCTACACAGCAGGCAGTATGCTATGTCAGGCCTCTGCCAAGCGAATGCCGGCCTGCAAAAGAAATGTGTCAAGCCTCCAAGCTTTCACATAAAGTGATAGAAGCTACAACCGCAGCTACTACCACGAATGGGAGAGGCCTGAGTGTCAAGTCGATACCTCTTTGCATATTCTTGAACTTTTTTTCCCATAGCGGACCTCGCAGTGCACTTGAATGAGATTTGTCCGCAAAGCCTTTTGTAAACCAACAAAAAGTCTGCAGTCTGTCTCTTTACTTCTCCACAGGCTCTATGCCAAGAATCATTCCACGGAAGATTCCGTTTCGCATATCTTTTAGCCTCATCATGACCATACCAGCAGGGTTTTTGGCCTTGGATGGCGCTATTTGAGGATGTGATTTGTGAAGGCAACTCGATTTACTCATTTTTGAAATGATCCGGTCCGCCGGGCAACTCCTTCCAAGCCAACCCAAAGAGCCTTGCACAAAGCTTGTTGTTGATGTTCAGTATCAAATCACAGAGTCACTCAATCTTACTTACATAGTGAGCTGCGAAGGTAGAGCAACCATTGAAGAGAAGAACCCTTGATTCCATGTAGCTGTCTGATGGCGTCTTCCCCACATTTCCTTCAGAGTCCCTTTTACATACAATTGGAATTTAATTGGCAACCTACAATACAACATGCGGTATGCCTGCTCGTGAGCATCCTTGCGAATCTTCACATCTGTCAATTCCCCATCCAAATATTGTATAGAATTTCCTTGCACTGGTTTGACCCTGCTGTGCCTGGAGGTCTTCTTCGAAGGTCTTGCGCCTCTTCTTCATTTCTTCATCCAAGAGACGAGTCACACGTTCATCCAAGCCGAAATGCTCAGCCAACTCAGTGACCTTAGCAAGATTTGAACACTTTGCATCAGCAACTTTGCTACTAGTAGTAACAAGTGCATCGCAACGAGTAGCTAGAAGCTACTAGCTGCCAATCTATCAAGGCCTGGAGGCCATGTGGCTTAAGAAAAGCCTAATCGCCATTTTTCAAGACCAGCAACCTGTGGATCGACACCAGCAGTCTTGATCTGCTCATACTCTGCAGCCACTTGTTGAAAGCGGAGTTGTGCTAATGACTCAGTGTCCAAGCCACCTCCTGGAGTACCTCCAGCTCCGGGCCCTTGAGGAGCTCTGACTGGCGGGCCAGTCTTGACCAAGTTGGGCACCAAGTTGCCCAAGTTAGGTGCAAGACCTGGAAGAGTTGGCAAATTCAATCCTGGTAGATTCGGCAAATTTGAAGGAAGCCTGAGGCCAGGCGGAACTCCTGGCATTCCTGCACTCAATGGGGGCATGCCGGGCATGCCGGGCATGCCGGGCGGCAACCCTTGCAGCACACCAGGAGGTACACCCGGAGGCACACCTGGTACACCTCCAACTATTGGAGCTATGCCCGGAGGAATACCTGGAGCTACACCGGCAGGAACACCAGGACCTGGAGGCACGCCTGGAGGCATGCCGGGGGCCGGCGGCAAACTGGGCAAGCCTGTAATGTTCAGAGGGCGCATGTTTGGCGCCACTGCATTCGGCATGCCACTTGGAACTCCAGCAGGGTTGGATGGCATCGATGGTGAAAGCGCTCCTGGCAAGCCAAGGGCCATTGGCCTCAACCCTGTTGCAGCCACAGGGGCCGCGACTGGTGCAACGTGAACTACTGGAGTCTCGGCCACTTCCGTAGATCTTTCTGCTTCCACCGCGTGGGGTGCCAAACCATTTTGAAAGGCATCGAGTCCATCTCGACCTTCTCCTATCTCTCCAGGTCCACGCTTTCGACCCATTGCGCATCAGTGGCACAAGGCTCAAAAAGATGGACTTTGTGTTTGTTGGTTCAATGCTGAGTTGGCTGCTTAGGCGTTTATCACTCTTTTCACATCAGACTCGAAGGGCATCCAACCATTACACACACAGCACCTCATGAGGACCTCAGGAGGACCTAGTGAGCCAAGAGTGTGCTGAGATTTGGAAGGGCAAGATTGAGGACAGGACGTATGGCTCAACTTGTGAGACAAACCTTTGAATACTGGAACCCTCAGCAATTCTCGTGGATGTGGACAAAACATGACAAGACACAGTTTGCCCAAGCAGGACGATAGTAGACTTTAAGTAGGTTGTCAACATACAGAACTGGCTAAGAAAATGCAGACAACTTGATGCCAGTCTGCTCTCGCAGCAAACATTCCTTGTGTGTTTTCCGACTGCAAATAGCACCTGGTACCCGAAACCAAAGCACATGAGATTCCCAATAATATGAACTGTAGGCAATACGTCCTTGTGAAACGGACCTGTCTTTGAGTAACTATGATTGACCATTTCTGTTGTGGAGCACGCACCATACATATGCATATGCAGAACTTGGAAAAGGCAAGAGGCCTGCATCCAATTATGCAAGTGTATGTCCCAATGTATGTTGCTGTTGTATGATAAGTGGGGCAAAGTAAACTTGAAGGTGGGCAGGCGCCGGATCCTGGATGAACATAGCCCTGCAGATGTAGGCTCAAAGCACTTGGGTGGGCCCTGATTTATGTAACTAAAACAATCCACTTGCTCTGCAGTTGACAAGCACTCAACGCTCCGGCTGCCTTGCGTATTGAGATATGTCATGTTGGTGCACTTGCCATGTAATTTTTGATACTGTAACCACGCTCCAGTCTACATTTCAGGCTGTTTAGGTGGAGGAAGGTCGGCAGACATGCGGTACAGGGCTACTGCATTTCGTGATGCTTGGAGTTTTGGAACCTTGGGAGTAAAGTCTGCATGTTTGGACCGCCTTGCTTCGCCTTGCTTGCCACTTGGTTTACTCAGGCCATGTTTTTCACTTAAGCCTTTGGGTGGTGGCGCAAACAATCGAACGCATCTTATCTTGAATGTGCGGCAGCATGTAGGCAGACTTCATCCAAGCTGTGGTGAGAACCGTGTATATAAGGAGCACAATCCTGTCGTCAACTCGAGCTGGTGTAGCACCAATTGGCACACAAACGCTGGGTCTATGCAAGCTGGATTCCGCTTCAAACAGTATGATGACACACATCCGCGCCCACTTTTCAAAACAAGAAACTGGAAGCCTTTCATTTAAAAAGGCCCGCAGTGTGGTCTCCTGAGGTCTGAAGTGTCTCTGCAGTATTCGTCGGGAATAGCATTGAAAACATGAAATGATCAGCTTGGTTGTTCTCTGCTCTTGACTCTCGGACCTGTTTGAACAAGTTGTTCTGCCGAAGGCCTCTTTCTTGGGCCGAACCCACCTCTCTGAGTGAGAAAAGTGGACGTTGGCCCTATAGGGGTGAACGTCGAACAACTTCGAAGAAATACCTACGCATCACTAGACACTTGGTTCGGGTTTCGTTCAACATGTGCTTTAAAAAAAATAAGGAACCTTTTCACAGAGAGTGTCTAATTCACACGGACAATCTTATTCACGTAGAGCCATTCGTTCACTTAGAGGCTCTAAACCGCTATGGGGTGCATAGTGATTGAGTAAAGTAGTGTCAGGATGTGTCAGGACCCGACTACCAGAGTTTGTCAGATGAGGACCAGTGCTGAAGAACAACTTTAATCAGGCTTGTCAAATCAACTTTATTCAGGTTGGTGTGAACTTTCTTGGCTGAAAGCCTTAATATGTGAGCACATTGACTAGCAAGTTGTTCTCCATAGGTCCTCGAAAACGAGGGATGCACCCTTTTTCCGTGGAAGGCTGTCCTTCTTTCTTGCAGGTTACATGTAGCCATTATGCCCACTCACCACTCACAGATTCAGTATTGTTGAACAAAACATCTCAGAGAGTCAGAACCTTGGGACAGTACACTTAATCAAACACTCAGCCGTCGCAAGCCACTCAAAGCAGCTCAACGAGTCTTAGAGGTGGCACTCAGGCCCACTGGTACAAAGCTATGAAGGACATTGGGGTGAAGCGGGAAGCTACTCTGTTGATTAGTTTATTGATGTTGTTTTCCGCTCTGCATCCGCTCTGCTTCTCTGTTTCAAGCTCTTTTCTTGAACAACGTTGTGACCGCACTGGCGCCGTGCCATTCTTTTATCTCAAACTATGTCTTCAATGCATTTGGCCATTAAGACAGCAGCCCCTTTGGGGCGCAGAGCTATGTATCCAGAGCATCAAGCAAGAAGGGTCAATCGTCTAATCTTTGGACTTTTCCTGCAGCAGTAACACACATGTGTTGCAGTCCTTTGAGCTGTGTTGCAAAAGACATGAAAAAATGTCCTTGCTGCTTGATGTCAAAATGGTAGCTGCCTGACATTAGATGTGTTTGCTTAGGTCCCTAGATGTAATGTTTGATTGGAACAAAATAGACACAAAATCTTCTCCGCACCTTTTCGGTCCCCCAACGCCGCACCAAGGCAGCACCTGACTCGGCATGTTTGGTGCTGATTGGATCTACGTTGCCAATCGCGGAGTTAACGAAAATTAGTAAAATGAAAGATGGAAAATGACCAGCAACCCTGTGGAGGCGGAAGTCAAGGGAAAAGCCATCATTCCCAACGCTGTCAAGTAATGTCAATCTGAAAACCATGCGCCACTGATGAGTGGTGATGAGTTGGCAGGCTCTTACTGCTGGCAGAGTGGTGTTTGTTGTCGGTCACGAGGTGACACATTGCTAAGGCGGTTAAGTGGTGCATCTGTATGGCTGCTAAAAGAGTACATGTCCATCGCTGACGAAGCAAATCAATGTACCAATGTGCCAGAGGTGGTGCGTCCGTTGCCAGTCAAGTGGTGTTTAGTGTTTTCGTTCAAGTGGTGGTTTCTGATCGTTGGTGAACTGGTGAATGGTGCTTTCTAACCCTGGTGCGAAGACCGGATTAATAACCCCCCCCCACGTGGAAGGTCTAGAAGGTCTAGCAGGTCTGAGATTCCATTCATGAGGTCCCCTCCCCCTGAATTATCTGCTCTGGGAGCAATCGTAGTCGCAGTCGTCATCGGTAGTAGGTAGTAGGTAGTAGGTAGTAGGTAGTAGGTAAAGGTAGTAGGTAGTAGGTAGTAGGTAGTATGTAGTATGTAGTAGGTAGTAGGTAGTAGGTAGTAGGTAGTGGTAGTCGTAGTCGTAGTGGTGGTGGCGGTAATAGTAGTAATAGTAGTATATAGTAGGAGCAGCAGCAGCAGCAATAGTAGTGGTAGTGGTGGTCGCAGAAGCAGCAGCAGTAGTGGTAGTAGTAGTCACAATAAGTCTAAACAAACACAAAGAAAAGGCCAGGGACACAGGATCAAATTAATAGGGGGTAGTAGTGCAGATTATTGATGGGGGACCAGCCCTTGTGAGGGGTACCCTTTGTGAGCTTGTCAAATGATTGCTTTTAATTGGTTTTACAAAGGCAATTTACAGGCCCTGAGCCCTAGACATTTTTTAGGATTTCATCAAAAATGTAGTAGGTAGTAGGTGGTAGGTGGCGATGGCGGTGGCGGTGGTGGTCGTCGCAGTAGCGGTAGCAGTAGCAGAGCAGTAGCAGCAGCAGCAGCAGCAGCAGGAGGAGGAGTAGTAGTAGTAGTTGTTGTTGTTGTTGTTGTTGTTGTTGTAGTTGTAGTTGTAGTACTAGTAGTAGGAGTAGGGGTAGGAGTAGGAGTAGGAGTAGGAGCAGCAGCAGCAGCAGCAGCAACAGCAATAGCTAGTAGCAGTAGCAGTAGCAGTAGTAGCAGTAGCAATAGTAGCAGTAGCAGTAGTAGCAGTAGCAGTAGTAGTAGCAGTAGTCGTAGTAGCAGTAGTAGTAGTCATACGAAAAATTGACCTGGTTGTGGGCTCGGATTAGCTGGGGTGGATTTCTGGTAGAAAACTTGACCATTGGGGGGGAAATCAACAACCAATACTGCTTTTAATTTGGGCAATTTCCGGCAGCTTTGTGGGCTCGGATTAACTAGGGGGATTTATTAATCCTAACTTTACATTACAGCGGTTTGATTTTAACTCGGGCGATGTGAGGCGGTGTAATGATGCGTCCGCAGCATGCCTTCACCGTCATGTAATGTCTTGCCTCTAGGGGCGTGTATGGTCTTACCTTGACTGCAAACGTTCTGTGTCAAAGCAGGTGAGGTGGTACGTTTCTACTGCTACTGAAGTGGTTGTATAACTGGTGGCTGGGTTTACAGTAATGGTTGTGAAGTGAGCGGACATGGTGCGGGAAGTGGAGACACACTGCAGGTGAAGTGATCTTTTTCTGTTTGGTAGTGAAAGTTCTGACTGCTGGCGAAAGCATGGGTTTCAGATTGTGGAAGTAGTTCGGACAAAAAGTCAAATCCACACCTGACCAAAACAGACGAGGGGGGGGAGAAGGGTCTCAATCTCAGCGTGGTTTTTCAGATCTTGGGTCTGGGAGCAATCTGACAAACTTTTGCAAAAACAGCTCCAGCAAGCAAAAGCGCGCTTTCAATTCGTGGTGTCTTGTTTGACTTCACCACTGTTCACATCTGAGTCCCTTTCGTTTCTCTGTTTACACACATATCTTGGAACCAAACATGTAAAGGCAGCAGGCCAAGCAGACCATGCTACCACCACACATATCCTTGAACATGAGATCTCATGCGCCAAGCTTCTGACAGCCTCTGGCAGCATCTCGGAAACGCAATCGAGAACCTGATGCACCTTGATGTGCTGCCTTGAACCAAGGTGTGACAGATCTTCTGCTCTAGTTTTGCTACACCCAGTATCTCTTGCTGAAGCTGCAAGCAAAATCATTTCCAAACTTCCTTTTGCTCTGAAGTCATTCAGTTCTCAAGCACCTCTGAAAAGCAAACACTTGACAAACTCAGCAAAGCACGCTTGAAAGGGCCCAAGCTGGCAAGCGACACTCATCCTGCAATAGCTGCTGCGTAAGTATGGGGTAAGCATGAGGAAGATTTTCTGTTTGGAGAAGTAGAAAACTCAATGCGCAACAAAGTGCTAGCAGCTAGCATATCTTCACGTCATCTGGACTGCCTCACTGCATAGGGCTGCGATGGCGTCCTCACTGGGTTGTGTGATATTGACCGGCAAAGACTACACTCCCATCAAAAGACTCAAAACACTAGCAGCAAGCGACAGCTTGCCAAAACACGTATGAGTAAGGCATCTTGGTTGCATGTTGGTGCAAACACATGACAACTCGTTGAAGAAAATGAATTAGTTGTTCACAGTCGCTGCTTACTTTCCTTTGCAGCATCAGCCCTTTCTGTACATGTGGTGAACTCCTTCGCCAAGGGTGCCCACTTCTTTGCAACACTCCACGCTACATCGAGACGAGCTGCAACTCCCTGCAGCACAAACGTCGAAGCACTGCATTGCTAAATTGCATGTGATGGTGGTGCCTCTAAACTCTACGCACTGAATTTCGTGTTCTACACATGCGGAACCGCTACAGTAAGCAACTCTGTGTCAAAAGCACGATTGCTTTAGAACTGGAAAAGCAAAGCGCTACACGAATCAGCCAGGGCTCAGCCTTCACCAAGACTGATCTTAGTGAACAGTCGGGGCACAGGAGTCATCAGGATGATACAAAAGATTCTTCAGAGATTATGAGACATGGCAAGGGTTCAAACATAGTATACCTGTGAACATCAAAGAGTCTTGCAATGAGTGCTGCGCGCCCGTCCTAGCAGCACCAACTCCATCGGAAAGGATTTCAACCTCACATTAGAATCGAATCCCATAGGATTGTCGAAGCCATGATGAGGTTTGAAGTGACAAAGGGAGACAGAAGGGAGACAAGGCGGACACAGTGACGGAGACAAGACCGGAGACAAAGGGAGACAAGCAGGGATGAGGCAAACACAATGACCAACAACACGGAGACAAAAAGGAAACAAAATGAAACAGAAGGGAGACAACACGGACGCAATGATCAACAAGAAGGGAGACAAGAAGGGAGACAAAAGGAAACAGAAGGGAGACAAGACGGACACAATGACCCACAAGAAGGGAGACAAGACCGGAGACAAAGGGAGACAAGAAGGGAGACAAAGGGAGACAAGCCGGACAGAAGGCGGACACGATGTCCCGCAGCAACCCACAAGAACCTCGGAGACGTTACATGGGAAACAAATGAATAGAAATGCTGGCCAGCGGAAAAGGACGGACACCAGCAATGCAGGCACCGAACCTGGGAGACAAATGAATAGAAATGTTGTATGGCCAGCAGAAAAGGGCGGACGCCAGCAGTGACAGAAAGGGCGGACACCGGCAGTGACAGAAAGGGCGGACACATCTTAAAAATTATACCAGCGTAGACCCCAAACAGTTGGTGCGTTTATGAAGTTAACCACAGAGACGAACTGTCAAACCGTCAACGGCTCAAACCGTTCCAGCTCGCGGTGATCAACTCGGACCTTCTGGGTTTGTTTCAGCACTTGGCTCAATTGGCTCAAGGTCACAACCGACAATTCAGACGAAAATAGAACGCAAATCTACTGAATATGCTGAGTTGTACTGACATGTGGCTTTATCATGATTGTTTGGCTAAAAGATGTTAAAAGCTTTCAACCAAAATGTGAGACAAGCAGGGACACAAGAAGGGAGACAAGTGAAGAAGCGAGGGAGACAAGCACGGGGACAAGTGGAGACAAGTGTAGCAAGAAGGGAGACGAGCAGGGAGACAAGTGGGACAGCGTAAAGCCACTTGGCCAAGAGTGTCTAAGCAGGGAGCAGGCGAAGAGGCAAGCGGAGACAAGTGTAAAAGCGTATCCAGAGCAGGCCGAGACAAGTGGAGACAAGTGAAGCAAGAAGGGAGACAAGCAGGGAGAGAAGTGTAAACTCATCCAACCGAGAGCATGGAAGCAAGAAGACAAGCAACCGGCCAAGTGTAATCCAAAGCAGGCCGAAAAAGTGGGAGACCAGTGGAGACAGGTGTAAAAACAAACATCCGGACAAGTGTATCCAGAGTAGGCAGAGGAAACATCTCATCCGGCCCACAGGACCCAGAGGGAGACAAGCGCAAAAGCATGCAGCCAGAGCACCCAGAGTGTATTGGAGACCAGGAGAGACAAGTGGGAGACAAGTGCAAAAGCATGCAGCCAGAGCACCCAGAGTGTATTGGAGACAGGGAGAGACAACGGGGAGGCAAGCCAGAGTACGGCAGACAAGGGAGACAAGTGGGAGACAAGTGTACAATCACGCGGCCAGAGCAGCAGAGTGTACTGGAGACAGGAAGACGAGGGAGACAAGTGACAAGCGGGAGACAAGTGTAAAATCATGCGGCTCAGACTGAGAGACAGCTGCAACATTCGTGTGGCAGGAACACAAACCGGGAGACACATGCAAAATCACGCGGCCCGCCCTTTCAAAGGAGTAAGAACCCCTCACAGCTAAACCTGTTTAAGGAATAAAATCATGCGGCCAGAGCACTGAGAGCATCCAGAGCTTACTGGGAGACAAGTGGGAGACAAATGGGAGACAAGTATAAAATCATGCGGCCAGAGCACTCAGAGCATCCAGAGCTT